ATATATATATATTTAACATATCATATGTTAATACTGGTGATTCTTGGGATGTTCACATTTGAGACAGTCCCAGCTCCGGCCGCTAGGGTCTCGACTTGGCCAGGTGCCAGAGGTTGATGTGATTTTGGCAGGCCATGACCATCACTATGACGTGAAGCCTGTGCGAAGCTTGGATGGCCTACAGATATCTAGAATCTACAGATTACCTTGCCCATTAGGGTAAGGCGACCTGAGACCAACTTCCCACTGGGTTAAGCTATGTTTCTTCGAAGCCTGACACGAGGAAACAGAGACAACGTGGTGTGTATGATTGTTCTTCTCTCTCTTTCTCCCTTACGACTGGGCGTGATCGCACGATTGATTGATTTTTTGGGTCAGGTTGGACCGCACGGGACTTATGTCAGGGCCCTTGGAGTCGAGTCAGAAACAGCGGCGTTCTTGTGAGTAAAGAAGTATAAAGACGTACTAGGACTTGCGCCTGGTTGATTTGTAGTCCATGCATAAATAGACACACCTGCTCTTTGTTCTTTGTTTGGCCAAGAGTCCAAGAGTATCAATGGCATTCAATGGCGATTAAGGATTTAGGGGTTTCGCAAATCCTCTTTGCACTCCACCTTTTCCATATTTCTACCGACTTGTTGAGTGTTTGGCACCCCGGATGGAGTGCCCTCCCTCTTTCATAATATGCAATTGACAGGCTTCGCACCGTGGGCACAGACTACAAGCCATTCTTAACACAGACATTGCTCGGTCAGCGCGCGCACGGGTACCTTCACAAACGCTTGTCCTGAAGACACCGGCCCTGGTTTGGGTTTTCGTCCATGGGGCGCCCGAGACGTGTGATGAGAATGACTGGAAAAAAAGGGGGCCTAGTGAAAGTTTGCCCAAGGTTCTGCAGGACTTGGCACCAGGGTTGAAACGTTTATGGTACGGAACAGAACCTGCAGAACTCCCTCACCGGAAATACTGTATAGGCCATAGGCGTCATTATTCATGATTTTTGGCCGACTTTTTTTGGGGGGGGTGATTTTTCCATCGCCCTTGGTGGCATAAAAAGGCCTCTCCCCCACCCAGCTCAAGGATTTTGATGCACTTCTCCTTTTGCCGATTTTTGAGCTGCTGCAGATCCAAAAACGGCTCGAAGTGCAGGCGAGAGCGCCGTTTTTCAAAGGCCAGATGCAAAAAACACTGCAAAGCACAGTGTCAGTGCCAGGGAACGCACCTGGGGTAGCAAGCTAGCCTCAGATAATACACAACGGCGCGGCGTCGCCGGATTTGCTGTTTTCCGGCAACCGGCGCCGACGCACCGGCAATGGCCACCGGCACCGGCAACCTGCAACCGACACGCCGGCCACTGCCACTAGCACCGGCTATCGGCATTGGCGCCGGCCACCGGCACCGGCCACCGGGAATCGGCAACAGGCCGTGGGCAGCGGTAAACGGCCACCGACCCTACATCAGCAATTGGCGCCGACAACTGGCAGCGGCAACCTCTCCGATACAAAGGTACTTAGATGTTTAAATTTAGACATGCAGTCAGACTGATGGGGGTTTGGCAGCTTCAGCTTCACTGAGTCCAAGACAGATTTGCGTAGGATTGCAAGAGTGAAATAGAAATGTAGATGATACGACGGATTGATATGTTGTTCCGGAAATTGATGGAGAGACAGATCTTCAGGTAATTAGACAGATGTTTGTTTACGCAAGACAGACACAAGCAATACAAGAGTCAGAAAATAGATAGCTTTATAAACATGTCGCAACAAATCACAACAAAATTCGCTTGGGTCGCCCGCCACAGCCACCGGTTACCGCGTCCTAACACACCAAGACGCGCGGCGACCGGCCATACCTAACGCCGATGGATCGCCCAGAGCACTCAGCCAGGAGGTAACAGCGCAGCTACTATTGAGTCTACTGTTCACACGCCATATCTGTTCACACACCATAGTCATCAGACCACGTCGACTCGCCGCCAGCGATCGGTCACAGCTACCTGCGACCTACTGCCCAGCAGCGATCATACACATACCGTCTGAATTTGGCCTGCCCCGTGATATCAGAAGCGAATGCATACACACAATTAGAAATGTTCCAAGAAAAGATACACATAGAGGAAGGAAGGAAGGAAGGAAGGAAGGAAGGAAG